GGAGCCTAAGGGCCACACATCCCTCCACATAAAGAGACTGACCAGGAAAAGGCAGGCAAAGGGCTTGAGAGAATGACATTCCTTCTCTCCCCCTCAGGACATGGGCAGGGCTCATTTGTGGGAGTTTTTCTCATTGGAAAGAATCACACATGAGGTCCTAGACCTCACCCTCCAAACAAACTCTTGTTTTTGCAGCTTTGGGGACAATTTCATGGTAGATTCTTTGGGACCACGATGGTAGAGGGTGCTGCCTTTTTCTATGAGGAGAGCTAAAGCTGAGAATGCTCAGCATCCTAAGGGACGGATATCTTTCATGGGCACTCCATCTGAGTCATCCCATGGAACCTATTCACTGTGTCCCTCCCTGCCTCCTTTCCTCCTGATCTGCTAGTTCGTTACTTTGGTGTTTCAGAAATGATGAATGCCCTGGCTACTTCCAGCCGTGTATTGGATCAGTGCTGAAAGATAAAGATGCTTTGAAATGATGAAGCCATTATCTCATTGGCTGGGGGTGGGGCTGGTGATACTCTCTAGACCTGTAAAAAGAGGAAACAGCTTTTGTCCTAGACTCGATTTAAATCTCTTGTGTGACAAATAGTGCACTTTGTCTCCAGATTTCCCATGGTGAGGGTAATGTATTCTTTGTTCCAATGTTGCCACTGTTCCCGTGTAGGAAGTAGATTCATTCAGATGCCTTTGTACCAGCTACTCTGACAACCTTTTCTCTTTTCCTTTCCTGAGTAGGTGGTCAAACATTAACCTTCTAGGAAGGTCCAGAGTCCAAGTAATAGACCTGGCTGGGGGCAAGGAGCCCTTCATCAGCAAAGACAACTATTAAGCAGAGAAGTGGTAGAGATTTGGCTCATTTTGCCAGCAGACATGTAGCAAATGTGGGGACAATTTAGAGACTTGGTGACAATTGAAAATGTCTAAATACTAACCATACAAACTGTCTTTGTCCTTTCTCTGTCTCCTGACAATAATGTAAGTCAGAAACCTCAATCTTTTCTTTGATCCAGTAACAATCCATCAGTTTAACATAACCTTATCTGTCTACACATGTCTCAGCCCCAATGAATTGATTCTCTTAGATTATGTGAGGGACCCTGTATAGTGAATAGATGCCTGGACTTGAAGTCAGGAAAATGGGTTTGAATTCTGCCTCTTACTAGCTGTGAGATGGTGGACAATTAATGTAGCTTCTCTAAGCCTCTGTGAATTTCCCCATGTCTCAGAGGGGTAAAATAGTAGCACCTACATTCTAGCTAGAATGAGGGAACTGTCCAATCTTGAAATGTCTAATGCAGAGGCTCAGTGTGGCTGTTTCCAGATGTAGGTGATAGAGGCAGGACCTTTATCTGCACCCCCTCCCTTTCAGAGCTGAGTATTGACTGAATTCTCTTGTCTTCTGGTTCAATGATGAAATTGCGTTTTTTGTTGACTTTTGAGTAAGAATGGAGTGTGCATACAAAAGGCCAAGGGAGGGAGGGAGGGAAGAATAAAGGGAAGGAGAGAGGGAGGGAGGGAGGGAGAGAGAGAGCTTGAATGAAATCCATAAGAAAATAGGAACAGGGAAATTATTTTTTAGTGGTTTTTAATTTTTTCTTTTAAAAAGAATTTTATTTTTTCCAATTATACATAATGGCAATTTTAGACATTCATTTTTATATAAAATTTTGAAATTCAAGTTTTCTCCATCCTTTCCTCACTGCCCTCAGAAACAGTAAGCAATTTGATGTAGGTTATATATTCGCAATCACATAAATATATTTCCATATTAGTCATGTTGTGAAAAAAGAAACAGAACAAAAGGGGAAAAATGAAAAAAAAATGAAAATATGATGTTTTGATTTGCATTCAGACTTGATCAATTCTTTCTCTGGATGTAGATAGCTTTTCCCATCATGAGTCTTTTGGACTTGTCTTGGATTATTGCATTGCTGAGAAGAGAGAAGTCAGTCAAGGTTGATCATCTTACAATGATGTTGTTATAGTGTACAATATTCTCCTGGTTCTGCTCATTCCACTGTGCATTGCTGCATGTAAGTCTTTCCAGGTTTTTGTGAAATTCACCTGCTCATCATTTCTTATAGCACAATAATATTCCATTATGTTCATGTATCACAGCTTGTTCAGCCATTCCTCAATTAAAGAGCGTCCCTTGATTTCCAATTCTTTGGCACCACAAAAAGAAGTGCTATAAAATATTTTTGCATATGTGGGTCCTTTCTCCTTTTCTATGATCTCTTTGAGATTACTCCAAGTAATGACATTGCTGGATCAAAGGGTTTCATTGCCCTTTGGGCATAGGAACTGGGGAATTCTTAACTCTAGGACTAAGATACTTAATTCTAGGACTAAGATTCTAATATAGTATGAACTAAACCATACGCAGAGTATCAGTACTCTCATGAGCTCTAAAAACACAACAGTGATGACTAATGGCATCTCCACAATACAAATAGAATCCTCAGTGATAGGTCTAAGTATAGAAATCTTTCAATTATTCATAGAAACACTTCAGTGGTTTCCACTTGACATTTGTCCTAAGGCCAGAGAACTCTGGACAGGCCATGTGGACTTCTCACATCCTTGGAGTGGGGGTGAGAGAAAGAGTGAAAGGGAGAAAGGCTGCAAAGCCAAGCCTCTGTACTCCCTACTGGTCCAAGGGCAGTAGAGGAAATGATGTCTTCAGCTCCCCTCTGTCAGGCTGGAGTAATATGGGCAGAAACAAAGACAGGAGATATGGTCCAAGTACAGATCAGCAGGCTGCTTGCTGCTTCAAGGTAAATAAAATCACAAATTCAGCCATAATTCCCCCCTCAGCTCCACGTCCCAGGAGGAGGCCATGCTTTCTTTATTTTCCTGGAAGTTGAAGGTAGAGTGAAGAAGGATTTATTAAAGGTCAGCTATATGCCAAGAACTGTGCTAATTATTTTACAGATATTATCCTCATTGAGTAGTTGCCAGCTCAAGTCTGGGAGTCTGGCCCAAATTGAGAAGCAAGACTTCTGTCTCTGAATCCGATAGGGTCTTGCACTGTTTCTCTGATTCTGTGATTCAAATGTCCCCTTAATCAGTGGCCTAGTGGAACATGTGTGGTGAAGAGAATCTCTTTTCCAGTGACCAGAAAGGGTGAAGTATTAGGTGCTAGCTATATGGTGTAAGTGTTGGACCTGGACTCAGAAAGACCTCAGAATTGACTTCAAACATTTAATAGCTGTGTGACTGTGGGAAAGTCACTTAAACTCTACTTGCCTCAGTTTCTTCAATTACAAAATTATGCAAATCATAGCACTGACTGTGCAAGGTTGTTATGAAGACCTAATGTGGTCATATTTATAAGGTTCTTAGCACAGTGCCAGGCACATTCTAAGCACTATATAAATGCTTATTGCCTTCCCCATTTCCAGGTATGGAGAAGGGTCTCATATCCTGTAGATGTCCTGTACTAGGGGTTTGGGTATATCTATCAATGTGCCAATCACATCACCAACTATAGGAGGAGATGAGAGCACAGCCAATTAATATTAGTGATTAAGAAGGCATGGCCAAGAAATGTTGGCTACCATGGACACCCAATGACACTCCCTGCCTTGGTGAGACTGTTTAATGCTTGTAATCGTGTCCATCACATAAGTAATGGCAAGAGAAGCTCAAGATGCCCTGTCACCACTTTCTACCTGGGCTAGGTAAAAGATGAGACCTGAAAAGAGCTGAAGAGAGAGTGAGGTGTTCCTGAAAGAATCAAAAGGAGGATGGATATCCGTCACAATCTGTACATTTCAGGGCAGGTTGTGCTTCAGTGTAGTGTGTGTGTGTGTGTGTGTGTGTGTGTGTGTGTGTGTGTGCACTGCGTGCACACGCGTGCATGCGCACACAATCAGGTGATGAGCATGCATGTTGCATGACAGATGTATGTGTGTTGTGTGTGATATATATGTCTGTGTGAGATGGTATGTCCCCTTCCCTTGCTTGGCCTCAATAGATAGCCCCCTGTCGTAAAATACACCTAAAGTACCTCCTCCCACACAAGAACCTCAGCAAGAACTGAGTCATGTTATGTGAAAGAGATATTGGAATAGAGTCACAAAGAAAGAGAAACACAGAGATTCAGAGAGACTAAGACCTAGAGAAACAGAATGAAAATAAGAGTGTGCTGAGCCCCAGCCTTGATCTTTAGAGGCAGAGAAATATTTAGCTCAGCTCCTATGATACCTGTGGGAGGAGGGAAAGAAATGGAGGAGTGGGAAATGGAGGGAGGGGCATTGATGAGCTGAAATCTCTACTATTTGGGGCAGGGGGAGGGGAAGGAGGCCTGAGGAAACCTTTTGGATCAAACCTGAGAGAAGAAGATGAGGTGACCATGGCCCATGAAACCTTGAGGAGTTAACTCCTGACTCTCTGCCTTCATTTATAGAGACTGACAAGGAGAGGTCAGGTAGACAGGGTGCCTTAGATGGTGCCATTCTTCTTAGATGGTGCCCCTCTCCAGGGAAGGTTCAGTGACCATTTTTTGGTGTGACCCTCTTGTGAGCTGATGATGCATGAGGCTTTGGACCTCACTCCCTAAGTACACTAAATCCTGAAGCCTCCAGCCACGTACAGGGCTCCAGAGAGCACTGAGCATTGGGCCTACAGTCAGGAATACCTGAGTTCAACTCCAGTCTGAGACATTTACTAGATTTGGGACCTCGGGCCAGTCACTGAATCTCTGCTTGCCTCAGTTTCATCCACTGTAAAAATGGGAATCATGAGATCACCTACATCCCAGGGCTATTTTGGAAATTGAATTACATATGTGTAACGTGCTTAGCATAGTGCCTGGCATACATTAGGCACCTCATCAATGCTTGTTCATTACTTAGAGTTCAAATCCCAAGCACCAGAAGAAGCCATGGGGGGGAATCCTGGATCTCTTCCAGGGAGGTGGGAAGGGGGCTGCAGCTGGGGCAGAGAGCTCATTTCCTGGGCTCCTGTGCCCGAGCATCTTCTTATCATTAAAATGACGTCTCCCAGGCCTTGGTGTGGCCGATGTCCCTTCTCCCACCTTCCAACTTCTGCTTGTCCACCAGGGCCCTCTGGAGAACCACCCTGAGGGGATCCTTCCCTCTTGTACGCTTTAGGCAGCCCAGCAAGAAGTAAATGAAGGGGTGCGAGCTGCTGTTTAGGCAGGCCAGGAACGCGGTGAGCCAAGGAGGCATGAAATCTAAGGGGAAACCCAATATTCCGTCTTGGATTCCTCTGGGCAGGCCACAGAGCAGGAACACGAGGACCATGAGCAGGACCAGGAGGTAGAGCCTGGGGGGCTGCCGGCGCTGGGAGCTGCACCGCACCCTCAGCAAGTAGAGTTAGACTGGACCAGCACAGCACTGGGATGAAGTGGGCTAACCACACCACCGGTACGCCGGGGAATTTGCGACAGAGAACCCGACTGCTTACGTAATGACAAAGGACAAAATCTAGTCCCCAGAACAGGCCGGGTAGAGCCCATAGAACAAGGCACACAACGGTAGACGTGTACTTGGGGCGGCGATGGAGGTACCAGCTGGGGAAGAGCATGGCTAGACAGCGCTCGGTGCTGATCGCAGCCAGGAGGCTCAGGCCCACACAGTAGAAAAAGAATGTGGCGTTTATCAGAACGTCGTAAATGTCGACATGAGTGTAATATCCAGCCGACTTCAGTATGAGGAGGAAAAAAAAGCTGCAAAGGAAGAGGACGTTGGCCACGGCCAGGTTGAGGATGTAAACAGAGAAGGGAGGCCCTGGGATGCGGAAGCTCAGGAGCCACAGGATGAGGCTGTTCCCCACCAGCCCAAGCAGGACAATGAGCAGAGAGAGGATATCCATCCAGTAACTTAAATAAAATTCTCCTGGTGCCACAAAACCTAAACTCCCATTTGTACTTCTCTCTGTTGTGTTGTCATAAACATATTTCCACTGCTTAGGTGTGAGGGACACAGCCATGGTGGTTGGTCCCAGCCCCAGGAAGCTGGCTCCTCTCAGACGCCCTGGGGACACGAAGACAAGGAAGTGCATCAGGGACTTGCACTGATGTGGACTCAATTCTGCAATTGGCCCAATGTGAAGTTTAAAGAGAATCACTGCAGGAAAACTCTGCCTTTTTATCTTTTCCAGGCTGGCATGGGGCCCAAAGAGAAGGATCCCCCAATAAATGACTATTTTTTTCTCTCCCCTATTTCTTGCCAGCCTCTACTTGATATTAACAGACAAACAGAACTGCAGATATGGGACAGAGGGCTCAGAGTGGCCATGAGTTCACTCCAAGCTCAGCCTCCTTGAACACTCTTAAGAATTAAACAAATGATTCATTTACCTCCTGGACATGAGGTGAGGCTTTTTAAGATCTCCTTACCCATCGCTTCATTGTCTGAATCTCCCCATTCTCCTGCCTCCCTGCTCATTCTTCTGAACCATGCCTGCACCATATGTGGTATCCCTCTCAGAACCTGGTGTAGAGCAGACAAACAATGCCACAAAATACCTCCCACATCCACTGTAAAGGACAAGAGAAGGGGCTGAGTGTCTCTGAGGGTTCAGGTCTCCTACTCTATTTTCCCCACTCCCAATGTATAGCCTGTCTAGATTGTTCTAGATCTTGCTGATGTCTCTAGAATATTGTCTATTCTCCCTCCCATCTTTGCATCCCTTGAATTTTTTAAAATGCTCTATGCTTTTATTTAAGCGTTTGATAAAAATTACAAAGATCCTATCAGAATAGATGTCCCTGGTGCCCTACATTGGACCCTTCCCACTGAGTTGATGTCAAAGGATTAATAATTATTTTTTTGCCTGACAATTCCATCAGTTTTGAAACCATCTAACAGTACTATCTATCATGCCACTCTCCATCATAAAAAGAGACTTTAAAAGTAATTTGTTAAAATATAAGCAAAGCTTGTTATGCTCACAGAGTATGAATGCTCACCCTTTTCAAGTACCATGCTCCTTCAGATATATGCGATGATACATAATTACTCTCCCTTTTGACTTGCCTCTACTTACCCACCCTCAGCCTGGAAGGTCTAGTATCCATGGGAAAATAAAGGCAGATGTTCATGGGAACCTGGCTGGGAAGCACATGAGGGAGAAAATTTTTTTGTTTCAGGTACTTCCCACCTTGGGGCTTTGATGTTCTTAGCCTATTCAGGAACATCTGAACCACATGCAAGACTTTTTTTCTTCTCAGTACTTGACTTTCAGTGCTCACTATTGGCAGTTGCACAAAGCATCTTCTCCTTTCTACCCAAACATAGCATTTGTAAACTCTTTCAAATTACATTGAACTTTAAACGAAGGTTTAAACTATGTTACCTCTTAATGGGACTAGAAGGTTGTTTTTTTTTTAAGTCAGTTTTGCGAACTTCATCAGCCTGGTGCTTCTTGGACTCGAGAGAGAGGAGCAGTTAGTTCTTCACTCATCTGCATTCTGTATTAGTCAGCCAATCAAACAACCATTATTAAGCAACTACTATGTCCCAGGCGTTACTATGTGTATGTGTGTATGGTGAGCTATATGGATACAACGAAACACAAACTCACAAAAAACAGTCCTTGCTCTCAAGGAGATCACATGCAATGCAGCAGCCAACATCCAATCACATGTGAGCAAAGATTCTGCAGATAGGATACATTAGGCAAAGTCACAGTGGTAAAGGAGGAAGGGGAAGGTAAAAGCAGAATGATAAAGGGGAACTGGGAAAGGATGCTTGCAGAAAGTGAGACTTTAGCTGAGACTTGAAGGAAGCCCAATTATTGAGGAGATGGTGGGCACATAGAAATAAGTTTTGAGAATTGAATGGACAGGTGGTGTGTGATCAATGGAAAAACTGAGGATGAAAACACAATAATAGGAGAGAAATTCAGAAGGTAGTAGGGTTTTATGTGAGGGTGACACCATTAGTTTTGTTTTAGATGTGTTGATTTTGAGATACCTCTGGGACATTCAGTTTAAGATGTTCAAAAAGTATGTAGTGAAGAGAGGATATGTTTCAGGAAAGAAGCTAGACGTGCATGCACATGTGTGTGCATACACACCTATGTATGCCCACAGAGGCATGCATATGCACATACTTGTATGTACACACAGATACACATACTCATAAACACAGAGGAAAATGAAAAAAAATGTGTATACATATATACATCCAAACAATATGTGTATATATATTTATTTATTTACATATGTGTGTATGTGTATGGTTGGAAGGAGATGGAAATAAAGGGAATTGAAAGATGACATTTAAGTAATAACAATGTGGGTTTCAGAATCATTGGCATGGCATTGGTATGATGGAGTGGAAGCATGTTAATCATTGGGGAATTTATTCACTTAGTTTCAATGTACCTTAAACAAAAGTATCCTCCTCCCTAGTGTGTTTCCCACCAGGCTCTTATAAATGTCTATCTTCTCTTTCCCATGGCTATTGAGTGCATTAGTGGGAGAGGGTAACTGAGGTCTATATATGAATTGTAACCTATTTTAGTTTTTATGCATTTACTTCAATATATTAGTGCTATGATTTCCCCTGTTTTGGTCTTTTTATTAGTAGTTATATTTAAGACATAAAAGTATGATTGGCTGGTTGTGAAACTTTCACACATTGTATTGGTGTACTATATTATGAATGGATAGTTGTATAGAGGCAATTCAAATGAAGTGGGAGCCCAGGAGCTGCAGAGATGACTAAAGGAATTTCATTTCATCTCAAAAGATATAAACCTAGAACCCTCAGAGTTTGGGTATAACCATGTAGTTCTGTTCTATTGCTGGAGATCTAGACCTGCTCATTCATTGTTCACAGGTGTGCATCTTCAGGTTAGTTGTCCCAGGACTTCAAGTATCATTGTATCACTGGAAAGTGAGCATAGAATGGGTGGGGTCCTGGAAGTTGTCAGGGCAGAGGAAAGAAAAGACCTGTAGAGTTCTAGGTTTCTACAGATGGTACCTGCCATCTCAGTATCTTTCAGGTTTGAACTGCCCCTCCTGGTGATCACTCATATGTGGGTTCTCTGGGGGAAGCTAGATGGCACAGTGGATAGGGCACCAGTCCTAGAGTCAGGAGGACCTGAGTTCAAATCTGGCCTCAGGCACAACACTCACTAGCTGTGTGACTCTAGGCAAGTTGCTTAGCCCCAACTGCCACGCCAAAAAAAAAAAAATGTGGGTTCTCTGCCCCATTAAAATGTAAGCTGTGCTGCTCAATCAGAATGGAGCTCACAACAACCCAGTCCAGGTGACCTCTAAGCCAGGCAAACACACCCAGCCTTCCTCACCAGAATTAGAAACCTGCTCCAAAGCCCCTTGTGCTTTTCCTCCTCCAGACACAGGTGGTGGCCAAGAGCAACAGACTTGTATGAAAAACTGCCCTTCTCTTAATTCTGGGTGAGTGACCTGCACTAGCTGTCATTGAAGCTCTTGCTCAGTGAAATCAGTGTTGTCTCTGACCCATCAGGAGTTAAGTGACTGAAGCCCTCTCCCACCTCCCAATTTCTAAGGCCCAGAGCTCCCACAGAGCAGGTTTTCTTGCCCCAACCCCTGATTCTTCTACCAGATTTTCATCTCTCAAGTTCTCATGCTTCAGTGTCTTAAAGGACAGCCTCCAGACTTTCAGTGACTCATCTTTCTTTTAAACAGTAACAACTCCCCAAATTTCCCCTGTCTAACTAATAGCAATTGGGAAATCATGTGTCTCAAAATCGTGACATGATTTTTCATTGTTTTCACTTTTATCCTCTTTAATCATGAAATGTTCCTGTACAGATGACCTGAGTTACCATAATCCTTTGCAGATCTTCAGTCTCCAGTGTTCTATAGTAACTCTTGTGTCCTTAAAAATATGTTTACATTCCTAATTTTCCAGTGTATAGTAATTAAAATTCTGTCTTCCTCTCTTCATAGCAAAGCCAAGATAATATTCCCCCACAAGTGAAGATTTTTTCCCCCAAGTTAAATATATGTAGATAGATAGATAGGTAGATAGATAGATAGATAGACAGATAGATTTAAGATTTAGAGTGCCACTCATTTTTCTGTCATAAACTGCCCACATCCTATCTTAAAATTGTGTCTTCACACTCATGTTAGCAGTCTTTTTTAAAAAATTAATTTATTTTTAGTTTTCAACATTCACTTCCACAAGATTTTGAGTTCCAAATTTTCTTCTCATCTCATCCCTTCCCCCACTCTAAGACAGCATGCATTCTGATACCCCTTCCTCAATCTGTCCCCACTTCTTTTATTCCCTCCCCCTTCATTTTTCCTGTAGCACAGGATAGATTTCTATACCCCATTTCCTGTGTATTTTATTTCCCAGTTGTATGTGAAAACAATTTTTTTAACTTTTGTTTTTAAAAGTTTGAGTTCCAAATTTTCTCCCTTCCTCCCTCCCCATCCCCACCCCCCATTGAGAAGGCAAGCAACTCAATTCAAGTTATACATGTGTAGTCATGCAAAACACTTCCATAGTAGTCATGTTGTGAAAAACTAAGTATATTTCCCTTAATCCTATCCCACCCCCCATTTATTCTATTCTCTCTTTTGACCCTGTCTCTCCTAAGAAGTGTTTGCTTATGATTACCCCCTCCCCCAATCTGCCCTCCTCTCTATCATCCCTCTGCTCTCTTATCCCCTTCCCCCCTATTTTCCTCTAAGGTAAGATAGATTTCCATACTCAATTGAGTATGGATGGTATTCCCTCCTTAAGCCAAATCTGATGAGAATAAGATTCACTCATTCCCTCTCAACTTCCCCCATTTCCCCTCCACTATAAAAGCCTTTTCCTGTCTGTTTTATGTGAGATAATTTACCTTTTCTACCTCTCCCTTTCTCCTTCTCCCAGTATGATCCTCTCTCACCTCTTAATTTTATTCTCCAGATTATGACCCCTTCATCTTTAACTCACCCTGTGCCCTCTATCTATCTATGTATCTATGTATCTATCTATCTATCTATCCATCTATCTATCTATCTATAATTTTTTCCCCTCCAACTACTCTAATACTGACAAAGGACTCATGAGTTACAAATATGATCTTTCCATGCAGAATGTAAACAGTTCAAACTTAATAAGTCACTTACGATTTCTCTTTCCTGTTTACCTCTTCATGTTTCACTTGAGTCTTGTACCTGAAAGTCAAAATTTTTATTTAGCTTTGGTCTTTGCATCAAGAATACTTGAAAGTCCCCTATTTCACTGAATATCCATTTTTCCTCTGTTAGATTATACTCAGTTCTACTGGTTAGGTGATTCTTGGTTGTATTCCTATCTCCTTTGCCCTCCAGAATAACATATTCCAAGCCCTCCAATCCCTTAATGTAAAATTGGCTAAATCTTGTGTTATCCTGATTGTGTTTCCA